ATGAAAATGAGGCAAAGAAATGCAACAGTGGACTTGAACATACCATTGATCCTGAAGACAGTTCAGGATTTGGCAACATTTTGTTCTGTTATACATAAGGCTGCAGTAAGTAGGAGTCTACTGGAGGGCAACTAACAAAAACAATTTAAGTCACAGGGCTAGTAATCAAAATGAGACTCAACGGGTAGTGATTTTAAGCTTTTCATATGCTTAGTGATCCATCAACTGGTCTTTAGTGCCTTAATGTTTTTTCTTTTGTTTATTGTGATTTAGATGAATGTTTACAGAGCAAATTAGTTTCTCATTCAACAGTTAATACATAAATTGTTTTGTGACACTGGTTGCTGTCTTAGGCTGGGTTCTCTAGAGAAGCAAAACCAGTAAAGCAGAAAATGGCTCACACGGTTGTAGAGGCTGGAATGTCACAAGTCCATGAGTTAGAACAGAGGCTTCTCCTGATTCACGTAGCCACAGGGGCTGGCAAACACAAGATTGGCAGGCGAGATGGCGGTAAACTGCTAGCTAAAGTCCCAAGAACCAGAAGTCAGATGAACAGGAGCCAGCTGCAGGATCCAGAGCAAGCAAAAGCCCCTGAGCCTTGCCAGAATGTCCACTGGTATTCGATGCAGGCCACAGGCCCAAGGAAACTCCCTTTCAACTGATTGGCTACTCGCACTAGTTCCCATCATGGAGGTGACCACAACATCATACAACTGCCAAACTGCTGAGAATCATAGCTCAGTCAATTTGCCACATGACCTTAACCATCACAGTTGCCAACCCCGGGATGTGTCAACACTCTCCCCTTCTCCACCCCAGGTTCCCTGTTTCTATTATTCCAGTTTTCCTGCCTTCTCGTCTTTGTTTTGGGGCTGGTGTGCCCATTAGTCTCACATACATGATTGAACTATGAAGTGCATCCCTTACATGTGTTATTGTTGGCCTTATAGACCTGTCTGATCTTTGGCTGAAGGGTGAACCTCAGGAGTGACTTCATTTGTTGTTGTTATGGTTAAGTGCCTTGGAGTTGGTTCTGACGCATAGGGACACGATTGTACAACAGAAGGAGATACCGCCTGGTCCCGAGCCAACCTCACAGTCATTGCTATGTTTGAGGCCATTGTTGGAGCCACTGTGTCAGTCCACCTTGTTGAGGGTCTTCCTCTTTTTTGCTGACCCTCTACTTTACCAACTATGATATCCTTCTCCAGGGACTGACCCCTCCTGATAACATGTCCAAAGTATGTAAGACAAAGTCTTGCCTTCTTCCCTTCTAAGGAGCATTCTGGCTACACTTCTTCCAAGACAGATTTGTTCATTCTTCTGGCAGTTCATGGTATATTCAACATTCTTAGCAAACACCATGTGCCTGACCCAAGCCATGGTATTTTAACTGCCTCATATGCATATGAAAGCTGGACAATGAATAAGGACTAATGAAAGAAGAACTGATGCATTTGAATTATGGTGTTGGCCTCAATTTAAAGGTCATTAAAAGTTTATCCTGAGATGCTACCTGCATTTGAACTATTTCACCTCTATATTTGGCTCCAATGCAATTTTCTAGTATGACTGCCTACTGCTGCCCTATCTGTACCCTATACTCATCCAACCCAGACTTTCTGCCTTTATTTTACTATGTCTTTATTCATGCTCTTCCCTTGACCTGAAATGGAATCATCATTTATATTCTCTTCTATACAATTACTTAATAAAGATAATAATGTATTAAAGGGTCCAGAGAAAGTTGTTTCAATCTGCAATGTTGGGGTCTAACATTGCCTCATACAGTCTTTGAACCAATCCTTCTATTTTTGAGCCCTAACTTTCATTTTTAACATTTAGAGGAACCCAGGGCCTCTATGTCCTAAGATGTCCCAGGTTTCTAAGGGGCAAATCCATTTTCTCCTCCACAATGAATTATATTCAACTTTCTTCTCTCTTTTAAATCATATATCATGGATCCATCTTCTTTCCATTCTCTTATTTGGCTTCTTCTCCACTTCTGTTCTCCTTGTCCTTGCAGTTTTTACTACCACCCCTTTTTGACTCTGTTTCAGTGGGGTTTCTCTACGAAGAGGAGATAAATGTTGATATTCAATTTGTCATGTTTTATTGGAAGTCTATAATCTTTTTTTTTTTTTTTCTTACTAGGAAGATAATCAGTCAGATGCAAAAATCATGCATGTGCTTGGAGTCAGATTTCTAACCTTATTCAAGTCACAGCACAGAAAGAGTAAGATCATATTTGTAGAGTACACTGGGATAAATGGCAGTGCGGGAGCCAATTGACCCTGAGCACTATTCTACCTTGAGGCAGAGGTAGTAAGGATCATAGCACACCTGTTATTCAAGGCACGATGGCTGAGAAGCTCTGAGGATTGATAAGGTTTGAGATCTGCCTGTTTTTCCCGGTAGCTGTGTGACTTCAAGCAATAACCTGTCTCTAAGTTTCATCTGTAATGATGGGCATGATAGTTAGTACTTGTCATGGGTTGAATTGTGTCCCCCCAAAATATCTGTCAACTTGGCTGGGTCATGATTCCCAGTATCGTATAATTGTGTACCATTTTGTAATCTGATGTGATTTTCTTATGTGTTGTAAATTCAGTCACTATAATAAGATGGATTAGCAGCAGTTGTACTGATGAGGTATACAAGATTGGATAGTGTCTTAATCCAATCTCTTGATATATAAAAGAAAGAAGCAAGCAGAGACACATGGGAACCTCATACCACCAAGAAAGCAGTGCCGGGAGCAGAGCGCGTCCTTTGGACCTGAGGTTCCTGTGCAGAGAAGCTCCCAGACCAAGAGAAGATTGATGACATGGACCTTCCTCCAGAGTCAACAGAGAAAGCGTTTCCCTGGAGCTGATGTCCTGAATTTGGACTTGTATGCTACTGGACTGTGAGAGAATAAACTTCTCTTTGTTAAAGCCATCCACTTGTGGTATTTCTGTTATAGCAGCGCGAGATGACTAAGACAGTACTGTGTGAGAATCACTGGAGCCAACCTATTTGAAATTGTCCAGCACAATGTGTACACATAGCATATGCCAATAGCTGTTTCCTTTTTCCGTGTTTCCTCTAATGAACCATACCTTGAGCAATGTAGGTGCTCACATATTTATTCCATGAATGATTAAAATGGACATCATTATAATACAGTGGGGGGTAATTTAGGTCAAAGCAACTTGCATACCAGGTGACAGCATAAAGCAAACTGATGGTGGGGGGAGGGGTTGGGGAGGGGAAAGAAGGGAGAAAGGATTTGAATCTGGATCTTGACTCTCTGGATTCAAGTGGTGGCAGGATCTTTTACCATGAGAAATAATTTGATTTGAAGCCTTCAGAAGGAATAAAGTAAGCTGTAGATATAAGGCAGTGTGTCCCTGGGTGGCACTCCACTACTAACCAAAAAGTTGGCTGTTTGGATCCACCCAGAGGTGCCTCAGAAAACAACTCAACAGCAACTGATTTTAGGTGTCAGGGGAAAGTCTTCTGCCTTGTTTGTCAATTGAAAGGGAAGTATTGTTGTTGGTTACTGTCACGTAGATTCTGACCCATGGAAACCCCATGTGTGCAGAGTAGAATCACTCCATAGGGTTTTCAAGCAGATCACCAGGCCTGTCTTCCAAGGGACCTCTGGGCTGGTCCGAACTGCCGACCTTTCGGCTAGTGGTAGGGCACTTAACCTTTTGTGCCACCAGGAACCCTTTGAATGGGAATAGCTAAGGTGATTAAAGAAATTTTCTTTGTTTTGCATTAGATTTATTTCTGTTCTTTTAGCTTTTATCCCCACGTTTTTCTTTTCCTGCAGGATAATGTGTTTACAGCTTCTCAAGTTTACATTCCTTCCTAGCGTCAGGGTCATTCCCCTATTTCTCACCTCAGATTTGGAAATAACACATCTTCACGTTTAAAACTGCAAATATTGTCTCACTAAGACAGAACGTGTTTGGCATAAAATTACGGTAAACGATTGCATCTGAATTCCACTATGCTATGAAAAATGGAAAAGGAGCTTCAGGCATACATGGTAAATTCAAATAGTAATTTACACCATCTTTCTCTTGATTTTCTTCAGCTTCGTCTTTTGAATTTTTTCATCTTTATTTACCTCTTTTGGCTTTTTTTTTTTTTTTTTTTGGCTCATCAGGGGAAGGGGGGGGGGAAAGCTACAGCAACTTCGAAGAGGCAAATTAGAAACGAATAAATGCAACAAGTCCTGCCTGCTGTCTGCCTCTAGATTCTGCGGGGACGTCAGTTAGCAGGTGAGTTTTTATTCTAGTTGGGTTACCTTCCCTAGTGGCCTGTCAATTACCCCAGCAAGCACGTCCCAATTTGGCTGGCCCAACCTCCTTTCACTCCTCCTACCTTCTCAGCTGTCAGGAAATCCTGGAGCAGTCTTCGCCCTGGAACCGACGTCTGTATGTTTAACAACTAGGGATTGTGCTGACTTAAAAATATAACAATTCAGGGGCCTTGACGCAAGGCCCGAGGTTGGTAGTTTCCGCTGTAGGCCAGAGGCGATGCCGCCTGCACGAGTTCCCACTCCAAAGATTAAACTAGGCAAGCTGCGAAGAGTTGCTTGTTTGAACATTTTAAAGCGACTCGGGTCCGTTGGCGTCTTCCTACGATGCAGGTGTGCTGCAGAAGGAAGGACGTTCTGCAGTTTTCGAGCGCTTTTCCTGGGAGAACCGCGGGATTGGAAATGGCGCGGGGACTGGATTTGTTGCACCGGCGCAATTTACCGAGCGCAGCTGACCACTCGGCGTCCACTCCAACCTGTTGCTTCTTGTGGGGCTCCAGGTCGGTTTTTCCCGACGACTCTAGTATGACTTCCACCACTCCAGGGCTCCCCGGCTTACTTGGGAATTTGCTCCCCCCTCCCGCCGGCTCCCCGTAGGTACCCTAGAAGTCGCTAAAGTCCTAGTTTTTGCCTGTGAAGCGTACTCGGGGACTGCGGGCAGCACAGGTTGCTGGGACAGCAGGCAGCGATGAAGCCGTCTTGGCTGCAATGTTGCAAAGTCACCGGCGCCGGGGGGCTCGGGGGGCCACTGCCCAGGTCCACTCCGGCCCGGGAAACCGGCCCGGCCCGCAGGGCTTATGTGGCCCCTGGCCCAAGGCGCGGTCTCGGGGGCTGGGGCTGCCGGGCTGTGTCCTCAGGCGGTGGCGGCGAGTACAAGACCCACTTTGCGTCCTCGGTGGCAGACCCGGAGAGGTTCTGGGCCAAAGCCGCCACGCAGATCAGCTGGTACAAGCCCTGGACCAAAACGCTGGAGAACAGATACCCGCCTTTCACCAGTTGGTGAGTGACTCTTTGCCAACCCTGATCTCTCCTAACTTCTTGGGCGCCCTTAGCTAGATGACCCTGGTGCTTGGAACCTGGAATTCTTCCTAGCAAAAATTAAAATCGGACTTGGACATGCACTCAGACCTTTCAATTTGTTTTTAATTTTACTTTCATAGTCAATTTTATTGCTTTATTGTTTTGGAGGATTCTTTACCTATTGTGATCTCAGTTTACTATAAATCTTACCTGTGTGGCAAGACTCCACTTGGCTCTTGGGATGTTAAATTGACTAAATCAGGGGCATGCCCCCAGGCACAGCACAGTCCAGTAGGGAAGACAGCTATGTAAACGAATGCAAGCAGTCTACAGAAGTATCACCAAGTATCTATACCCTGTGGAGAGGAAGAGGGTTGAGGAAGGACTTCAACAGAATCACACCTAAGCAGTGTTCAGAAGGAAGATACATCTTCCCAAGGTCCACAAGGGCCTGATTGTCAAAATCCAAGAGGTCGGAAACACTTTGAAATGTGACTGTGGTTACAAATAATTGGGTTGGCTGAAGTGGTGGAAGATGGGGCTGGTGAGTTAGGAACTGGATTGGGAAGGGATTTCTGTGCCATGCCAAGTAGTTTGGACTGGATCCATAGCCTGTGTATATGAAGCTGCAGTGTGAGTACTCAGAAAGAATGCAGATATTGGCCAAGTGGTGTTAGAAATGGTAGGAATAAAGTTTTCTTTCTGTAGTTGGAATTGTATAGTTGTAAACATTGTTTTTTATAGTAAAACAAACAAAGATACATTGTAGAGCAAATGCCAGACTTGTTTGGACATTGAGGATGAGGCGCACTGTTTACGAGAAGCTTGCTGTTTTGGGTCATTTTGGGCTGCATGCCTAGCCTCTAAGGGTGTGGTTGCTCTCATCTCCCAGAGATTATTGTTTTATTGTGTGCCATCCAGCTGATTCCCACTCACAATGACCCTATAGGACATAGAAGAACTGTCCCATAGGGCTTCCTACCCTGTAATCTTCATGGGAGCAGCTCACCAGGTCTTTTCTCCCATGGAGCCTCTGATGGGTTCGAACCACCAAACTTTCCATTTGCAACTGAGCACTTAAACTATTACACCACCATAATTCCTTTGCCGGACGTTAGGAAAGGATGTTTCTTGTAAAAGTTTGAGAAACACTGCTCAGCAATCGGGTGGAAAGAATAATGTGCGTTAGTATTTGACAGATATCTCCTTGGTGATAGCAGGTAACCTGGAATGGAGAAGGACACGTCAGCCAGAATTAGTTCTGTGCCCCTACCATGCCCTTTCCTCTCATGACTGGAAACTATTTTCATGTTTTACCCTTTAGAATCTGAGCATCTTGACCCCTTCTGTTTACTTATTCAGTAATGTTTTACTGACCTTTTTTTGTGTGCCTGGAGCGCTGGTGGCACGGTGGTTAAGAGCTCGGCTGCTAACCAAAAGGTCAGCAATTTGAATCCACCAGCTGCTTCTCGGGAATCCTATAGGACAGTTCTGTTCTTTCCTGTTGGGTTGCTATGAGTTAGAATCGACTCGATGGCAATGGGTTTGGTTCGGTTGAGTTTGTGTGCCCAGTAGTGGACCAGGCACTAGATACACAACAGTGACTACAAGACCCCTGTCTTCTGGGAGTCATGATGATTAAGAGCATGGACTCTGGGGCCAGACTCTCTGGGTTTGTGGTCTGCATCTTACAGTTACTATGTGATCAAGGGCAAATTAGTTAATCTCTGTCAGTGCTTCAGTTTCCTTATATGTAAATATGAATGTAGTATGAAGTTTAACTGAGTAAAGGATATGATCACGTTTTGTATAGATTAGGCACTATCACTGTTAGAAGAAGATTAATAGCAATCTTTGCACTGTCACATCACAATTATTTTGAAAGTAGGAAATTATTTTGAGAACAGGGGTGGAGGTAGGAGACAATATATCCAATCTCAAACTTCATTGAATAAGTGGTTTCAATTTGAATCTGTTACTCTGTTGGACACCTAATTGCAAACAGTCTTCCTTGGTTAGCAGTATTCTACAAATCCAAACTCAGTGGCAGGATGCATCTTGTTTTTTTTTTTTTTGGTCTTTATATCCCTAGACTTTAGAGCAGAGATGACATAATGAGTTTAAAAAATGATAGTCAAATAACAGGATGCATAGGTTTGATAATTTTTTGCTTCTATATCTATTTGTGTCTGTGAAGACAGACACAAGTTAGTGTGAAGGAGTTTTGCTTATGTTCCTTGAATCTGGGATCTGGGGAAGGAAGATGCTAAATGAAGAGGGATTGTGACAGCTAACTGTTCTCTCCTAGATGGAGCTGACACGCATATAGTCACAGTCTCTGATGCCCTTTGGATTCCCAGAGACGAGAGAGAGTTTCTTTCATCTTTATAAGTTTGTCTGTCTGCTTGTTTCTTATGAAAGTAAACTTCTCTCATAATTCACAATCCTGTCAAAAGTCCAGAAATCAAACGACGTATTACATTGGGCAAATCTGCTGCAAAAGACCTCTTTGAAGTCTTAAAAATCAAAGATGTCACTTTGAGGACTAAGGTGCGCCTGACCCAGCCATGGTATTTACAATTGCCTCGTGCATCCGAAAGCTCGATAATAAATAAGGAAGACTGAAGAATTGATGCCTTTGTATTATGATGTTGGCAAAGAATATTGAATATACCACGGACTGCCAGAAGAACTAACAAATCTGTCTTGGAAGAAGTACAGCCAGAATGCTCCTTGGAAGCAAAGATGGGAAGACTTCGTCTTATGTACTTTGGACATGTTATCAGGAGGGATCAGTCCCTGGAGAAGGACATCATGCCTGATAAAGTACAGGATCAGTGAAAAAGCGGAAGACCCTCAACGAAATGCATTGACACAGTGGCTACAACAGTGGGCTCAAACATAGCAACAATTGTGAAGGTGGTGCAGGACCGGGCAGTGTT